TACCTCTTTTGTCTGTAACTCACTATCATTTGTCTATTTGTTTTCCTGAGAAACTATCTTAAAGATAACAATATGTAAAACAATAACCATTGATAATTTCCTACCACTTTGTCTGTAATTTGGTAAGCCCCTCCTATGATTATATTATCCTTCTTTTACTCTTTAAAATAAAAAAAAAGAAAACTACATTGATTCAGAGCAAGAAGATAATTCCAGAAAGACAGTCAACTGTACTAGTAGTATAAAGCCCTAGGCTGTGCAAAAGACAACAGATAAAATGCATCAGTGTGTATCCAGTACTAACTAGATAAGAAACAGGCAGAGCCAGTGGATGCAAGCATTTTAGTCACTAGAACATTCCAAGTGGAGTGCTGTGGAATAGGAAGAGTTCGTCACTAATCTCTTTCATTCTCCATAAAATGCCCCTTTGTCCTTACCCTATGTTCAAAAGCAATGTTTGGACCTGGTCTCCCAAGTTACTAAGGAAAATCCTAGCTTACATAGATTAGTATTTCATTCTCTTCATTCACAAAATTAGGAGTCAGGGGCTGGGGATTTAGTTCAGCGGCAAAAGCGCCTGCCTGGCAAGCGCAAGGTCATGAGTTCAGTTCCCGGTACCGGAGAGAAAAAAAAAAAAAAAAAAAACCATAAAATTAGGAGTCCTGCCTCTTGAAGAAATGGAAAATTCACAGAAGTGGTACACACCTGCAATCACAGCACTTGGGGCCGTTGAGACAGAAGGATCACAAGTTCAAGCTCCGCCTAAGCAATTTCGTGAATTAGATCCTATCTCAAAGTAAAACAGAACTGAGGATGTAGCTCAGCGTGAAAAGTTCAGAGTTCAATCCCCAGTAGCATAAAAAAAAAAGACGAATTAGTCCTTAAGTGCCAATCAACACTGGATAAACTCAAAAAATAACATTAAGATAGTGTTTCTGGCCAGGCGTGGTGGCACACATCTGTAATCCCAGCACTTAGGAGGCTGAGGCAAGAGGATCTCAGTGAGTTGGAGGCCCGCCTGGGCTACGAGGTGAGTTCAAGGCCAGCCTGAACTGTATAGTGAAACTCTGTCTCAAAAAGGCAAAAAAAAAAAATAGTATTTCTGACCCTACAAGCTAAAATTTTTCTAGGACTAGGTAATTTCTGCATAGGCATGTATACTCAAGTACTATGTTTTGATTTTTACAAAATTTACTACATTATTAGGTTCTATAATAGCTCACCAAAGACAGCATAGGCTACAACTTACATACTGGCTATCAAAGCAATAACTGTAAATACTAAGAGCAACAGCTAACGTTTCTGTAGTGTTCACTGAACACCAGCACTACTGTGTGACATATGCTAACTCGTTTAATCCCATAATAACTCATAGGCAAACTACTATAAACTCTACTTTACAAATCAGCAAACTGGGGTAAGGAGCTGCAACTTGTCGAGGTCATATACGTTTTTTTGTTGGGTTTTTTTGTTTGTTTGTTTGCTTGACACAGGGTTTCACTATGTAGTTCAGGCTGGCCTTGAACTCACTATGTAGCCCAGGCTGGCCTCAAACTCACAGCAATCCTCCTGCCTCAGCCTCCCAAGTGCTGGGGTTACAGGCATGCACCACCATGCCCAGCTCAGGTCATATATGTTAAATGGAGAGGCTGAGATTCAATGCAGGATACTCATCCTCAAAATTGGTGTTCTTAATCTCTTATTAGTATGCCAATTATCTCAGTATGCATGTATGTAGGAGGTTTTTCACACCATCACTTCTGGCTCTATCTAATTTTCTCAGTTTAAAAAGTCTTCTTTTTCAAAAAGTTTTCAAATTCCACATCTAGTACAGAAGAATGTTTCCCAGATCTCCATGAGTAAGTGGTTATACTAGAAATGGTTTAGCTGTTAAATATGGCTCCCCTAGTCTTCATAAACATAAGTCATTACAAAACTTCCAGAAGTTCAGGCAAAATATATATATACATATATATATATGTATATATGTGTGTATATATATGTATATATATAAGTGTATACATAATGTATGTATATGTATATATACAATATATGTGTATATATATATATATGTTTATATATATGTGTATATATATAAACCATTCTTTTAAAATTAAAGGCCCAGGGCCAAGAATATAGCTCAGCGGCACAAGTGCCTACCTGGCAAGCATAACATCCTGAGTTTGATTCCTGGTACCAAAAAAAAATAAAATTAAAATAAAATAAAATTTAAAGGCGTGGTAGCACATGCCTGTAATCCCAGCAGTCAGGAGGCTGAGGCAGGAGGATCACTGCAAGTCGAGGTCAGCCTGGGCTACAAAGGGAGTTCAAGGTCAGCCTGAACTGCACAGTGAAACCCTGTCTCAAAAAAATTAATTAATTAAATAAAATTTAAATATGCTCATTTTTCAAAGCATAACTTGAGCTATAAAGTATATGTATAAATCAGTTTTACATTAATAGAAGTAGATACTACCATAAAAGCAAAGATAATATAGTTTTTAAAGGATACTGTAGCTTTTTAAAGAAAGCACATTAAACTGAGTCTGGCTAGTATTTTAAATGGATTCAAATCACTTTCATGTTAACTTCAAATCCCTAGCTCTCTACTTATAAGTTTAGCATCCATAATACCATGATTTGTTTTATGGATGACAATGTACTTTACAAGTTAGATGGCATTTAATCTCCTATCATTAATGAAAACTTACACACTTCTGATGAAGTCAGTATATGCACTGAACTGTTATATAACAAAATTTCTGCTGGGCGTGGTGGCACATGCCTGTAATCCCAGCACTCGGGAGTCTGAGGCAGGAGGATTAAGTTGGGTTTGAGGCTAGCCTGGGTTACAAAGTAAGTTCAAGGCCAGCCTGAACTGCATAGTGAAACCCTGTCTCAAAAAGACAAAAAAGCTGTTTCTTAACTCTACCTAACCAAAAAAATATTACATATTATCTTTTTTGGAAGTTGTCATTTTAAAAAGTTTTTCTTTTTTAATCAGGAGAGAACTCGATAGCACTGAGCAATATTGAATTTATATTTTCAGCTGGGCATGGTGGCGTATGCCTGTAATTCGAGCACTCGGGAGGCTGAGGTAGGAGGATCATTGTGAGTTCGAGGCCAGCGTGGGCTACAAAGTGAGCTCAAGGCCAGCCTGAACTGCATACTGCATAGCGAGACCCTGTCTCAAAAAGACAAAAAAAAAAAAAAAAAAAAAGAATTTATATTTTCAGCATATGGGGGAAAGGTGTCATCCAAGATTTTCTATGGAACCAAAAAGTGCTACGCAATTGTTCCACAAATCCCCAAGATTTGAAGATCTTAAAGGAAAAGAAACATACTTTTCTGGTTTCTAGTGCTCATTTTACTCTCACAAGAACTTAACAGAACGGTGCTATTACACACTTATGACAGACTGTTCTCCAAAGGTAGCCGCTATGCTTATCCCATAGCAAATGCTTTTCTTACAGTGATGCTTTTCCTTATTGAGGAATGAATGTGTTTCCTCTTCTTAAGCCCTGCAGAGCTTCATACTAGCTTCAAACAAGAGAATGTGACAGAAGTGATCAGTATGATTCCTAAGTTGATAAACAAGGCGAAAGAGTTTCCCCCAGCTTGGTCTCTCTTGAGACACTGGCCTAGGGCACTGCCACCAGCCTGTGAGAAAATGTCCCGAGGCAGCCCCAGAGATGCCTCAAGCCAAGAGGAAGGATCAGCCACCAGGCTTTCTTCAGATGAAACCAACCCCAACCTTTAAGTCTGCCAGTGGGCCCCCCCCAGTACAGAGGGCAGGGCACGCTGTCCCTTGCCTGGACTCCTGACCCACAGAAGCCAGGAGCCAAGAAATGACTATTACTGTTTTAAGCCACTACATTTCTGAGGTAGTTTGTTAGGCAGCAGCAGACAACTGACCATGTCATAAATAAGCAGCACAGGTAGGTAACCAGGCAGCAAAGGACAAAGCCAGAACTAGGCTCCTCTCCACACCCAAGCTCAGTATAAAACCATCTCTGATACAGCTGATCTCCACGACATGTGCTTTTCCCTACAATGACCCATTCTCTGCACTGACAACTTCTATACCTCCCTCACTCATAGTACTCAAAAACTGTCAAAGACACTATCTTACTGACAAAGGTCCAGGCCGAATTCTCCGTCTGCCTTCCAGGTGTTCTGTAATCCGACTCCAGCTTAGTTGGTTAAATGCATCTCCCATTTAGGAAGAAAACCTAACTGAGTCTGTTCCGTCTTTCCCAGTTCACTTCCCCTCCGCTGGCTCACCCCAACATCCAAATCCAGACGGGACACTCAAGCACTCATTCTCAGCCCGAACCGAGTCTCTTCCCTCAGACTGGAACCAACTTGGAGAACTAGAACTCTCAACCCTAACCCTAAGTTCAGCAGCACCGTAATAGCTGACAGGTGTTTAGACGACAGGAATCACTGACGGCTGCCGGAAGCCTTCCAAGACATAGCACTAGAAGTGGGCTGAGTGACAGGTAGGATTTGACCCTGCAGAAGGACAAAGTCCCTTCATGAAAGAATTACCCAACAGCCTTCCCGTCCACCCCGTCTTCCTATGTACATCGTACCTATCCTTCAGCCAGCACCACCTGCTTGAAGAAGCCTTCCTCAGTTAACTCAGAACCAACACTCTCTTCTCTGAGCCCCAAACACAATTACTGTCTCTATCACTCCCTCTAGCACTTCCTCTGCAGTGCAGAGCTCTGCTCTTCCACCAAAGTCCCGACTCCTGGAAGACAGGAAAGTCTCTACAACAACCATTCGCATGTGTTCAAGTAAACTCAGTTCAGTAGCCATTTCTGCTTTCGGTTATTTAAAAACCCACTGAGGGGCCAGGGATGTGGTTCAGCGGTGCAGCACCTGCCTGGAAAGCACGAGTCCCTGAATTCAATTCCTGGTATCAAAAAAGAAAACAGAAAAAACAAACAAACATAAAACTCCATTGAATGTAACACTATTTCTTAACTTACCTGGCATCTCCTTTGGAAAGATTCGTATTTACAGGATTAAGAATAACCTTGTTTGCATCAACATCCACCACACATTTGGTATGCAAGTCAATTTCTGCAAATTAAAAAAAACAAGAAAAAAGCCATTTTTAAACAAAGGTTATTTTGGGAAAAGCATTTGACAAAAAATCCAACATTCTTTCATGATAAAAACCAACAAGTTAGGAATAGAAAACTTTCTCAACCTAATAATGGGCATGTAGAAAAGCCCACAGCTAATATCACACTTGATAGTGAAGGACCAAACAGCCCAACCTCCAACATCAGCAATAAGACAAGAGTGTTTACTACTCTCTCCAACATTGTACTAGAAATTCTAGTCAGGGCAGTTAGGCAAGAAAAACAAACAAAAGGCATCCAGATCGGAAGGGAAGAAGTAAAACTATCTCTGAAGATATGATCTTGTGTGTAAAAAATCCTACCAAATCTACTAAGAAACTATTAGAATAAACAACTTGTGTAAGGTTAAAAGATATAAGAATATACAAGAATCAGCTGTGTTTCTATACACCAGCAATGAAAAATCTGGAAATAAACTTTAAAAAATAATTTTACTTATAATACCGTCAAAAGTTCTAAATAACTTAGGAATAAATTTTTTTAAAATGCCAAGACTTGTACACTGAAAATTCCAAACCATTGTTGAAAGAAACTAAGCACTTAAATAAATGGAAAGACACCCTCTGTCCATGAATTGAGTTCATACCAGCCCAGAGGGCAATAATCCCTAAATCTTACAAGACTGAAGGCAAGAGTGGGTGTTGTAGCTCAGCGTGCATGTTTTCAGCATGCACAGGGGCCTACCTTTGCCAGCAACACACACACACACACACACACACACACACACTCCCTTTCCCAAAAAAAGACCCAGAATAGTCAAAACAATCTTGAAAAAGAATTCACACTCCCCTATTTCGAAACATATTATAAATCTACAGTAACCAAGACAATGTGCCACTACTCTAAGTACAGATACACCGATCAACAGAATGCCACAGATACTGTATCTAGATCAACGGAGTAGAACTGAGTCCAGAAAAATACTCCCACATTTATGATGAACTGATTTTGACAAAGGTGCCACGACAACCTAGTGAGGAAAGATCAATCGTTTTAACAGATGGTGCTGGGAGACCGGCTATCCACATGCAAAATCCGCACCACACTCAAAAATTAACTACAGAAGCAGGGAGAAGAAAACTCCAAATGGATGAAAAGTCTAAATGTAAAAGCTAAAACTATAAAACTTTTAGAAGAGGCTGGGTGTAGTCGTGCATACCTACAATCCCAGCACTAGGGAGGCTGAGGCAGGAGGACTGCTCTGAGTATGAGGCCAGCCTGGGCTACATAGTAAGTTTAGGGCCA